CCATACGTGGTGCCATGTGGCACTTAGCCACTGTCCATTTGACCTTGGAAAGCAGTATGGCTGTCTACCAGGGATGTACAACATATAATATTACTTATTCATATCCTTATAATGTAATTAAGCTCATCTTTGATAAACTTTCAGTCTCTTAGTGGCATTTTCTGTAATAAGCATTTTATATTTTAAATATAACAAATACTGTCATTAAGCACATCACTGTGCTTGAATGTGTAAGCCTAATTTCTTTTGGTTTAAGTTCAGCTCAAGACCTTCAGGGTCACAGAATTCAGATCATGAGTGGGGAGCATCACAGAGCAGGCGCCTCGGTAAAATTCAAGTGCTGTGATATGTTTCTCCTTACAAAGGGTATGGCAACTCCTAATGTATCTCCTATACCTCTCAGTTATTTTTTCTTTTCTTATTGGCCAATGGATTAATACCTGTCTCAGAGCCTGGTGTGTCTGGAAGGGGTTTGGGTTTTTTGACCTCTTCTCAATTTACTTGAGACCAGGACTGCTGGCAACAAATAGGAGTAACTTATCCCATGGAAAGGGGTCTTACAATGGGAGTTGGGAAGGTTTGTCGATAGAGCTTTAAACTAGGTATGAGAAAGAGTGGGGGTGTAACTTGGGTCACTAGTATGGAGCCTGTGTGTAATGTCCCAGTGCTTGCGGGAGAGGGATGTGCTAGTAAGATCCCACAGTCTTCCTTGCCCTGGTGAAGGAGGAGGATGACTCACCTTCTTGTAGGAAGAACACAAGGGCTGCTGTGAGGCTGTTGGCTACAGAAACACCTGGGTATGGTGAAGAGGGCACTAGGGCTACTCCCACTCAAAAGGTGGCCCAGCTCACGTGCTTTTACACTAATGCACGCAGCATGGGTAATAAACAGGAGGAGCTGGAGGCCATCATGTGGTTGGAAAGCTATCACAGCTAGAGTGCTGTGATGGATGGCTACTGACTTTTCAAAAGTGATAGACAAGGCAGGAAAGGTGATGGTGTAGCCCTCTGTGTTAAGAAAGAATGCTAATGTATGGAAATTAATGATGATGGTGATAGGGTTGAGAGCTTATGGGTCAGAATAAAAGCGAAGGCCAGTAAGACTGATATTATCATGGGAGTCTGCTACAAGCCACCCAACCAGGGTGAAGAGGTGGACAAGACACTTAATAGACAGTTGGGTGAAGTCTCAAGATCTCTACCCCTTGTTCTCATGGGGGACTTCAGCTTCCCAGACATCTGCTGGGTTTATAATACTGCAGACAGAGAACAGTCCCGGAGGTTCCTAGAGAGTGTGGGAGATAACTTCCAACTGACTCAGCTGGTGAAGGAGCCAACAAGGGGAAGCAAAATCCTGGACCTCCTGTTTGTTAGCAAAGAAGGTCTTGTGGGGAATGTAAAGGTTGGAGGCCATCTGGGGCATAGTGATCACGAGGTGCTAGATTTCTCAGTCCTTGTTGAACCATGGAGGGGAGTCAGCAGAACTGCCGCCTTGGACTTCTGGAGGGCAGACTTTAACCTCTTTAAGACCATGTTTGAGAGGGTTCCTTGGGAGGGAGTTTTGGAGGGCATGGGAGCCCAGGAGGGATTTGGGAATACTTTAAAGAAGTAATTTTGAAGGTGCAGTAGCTGACCATCCCCAAGTCATGGAAGACAAGCTGATGGGCAAGGAAGCCAGGCTGGCTGAACAGAGACATTTGTCTGGAACTCAAGAGCAAAAGGAATGTTTATGGTCTCTGGAAGAGTGGGCAAGCTACTTATGATCTCATGATGATTATGAGTATATAGCTAAGCTGTGCAGGGATAAAATTAGAAAGACCAAAGCCCAGCTAGAACTGAACTTGGCCACTAAGGTAAAGGACAAAAATAAATATGTCCGTAAGTACATCAACAGCAAGAGGAGAGCTAAGGGGAATCTCCATCCCTTATTGGATGCCAAGGGCAACACAGTGACCAAGGATCAGGATAAGGCTGAGGTACTCAATGCTTTCTTTGCCTCAGTCTTTAATAGTAAGACTTGTTACTCACTGGGCACACAGAATAGATCCTGCATGATCCACAATGAGATGGTTTTGCACCTGCTCCAAAATCTGGACACTCACAGGTCCATGGGGCCAGATAGATTGCACCCTGGAGTGCTGAGGGAGTTGGCGGATGTGGTTGCCAAACTACTCTCCATCATTCTTTGGCAGTCCTGGCTAACCGGGAATGTCCTGGCTGACTGGAGACTGGCAAATGTGACACCCATCTACCGTCTATCATGGTAGCTATCAGTCTCACCTTGATGCTGGGGAAGGTCAAAGAATGGATAATCTCAGGAAACATTATGGACCAATTAAAGGCCAACCATGGGATCAGCCCAGTCAGCATGGGTTTGTGAATGGTAGATCCTGTCTGACAAACCTGATTTCATTCTATGACAAGATCGCCTGCTTAGTGGATGAAGGTAAGGCTGTTGATGTGATCTACCTAGACTTCAGTAAAGCTTTTGACACCGTCCCCTACAACATCCTTGTGGAGAAGCTGGCTGCCCGTGATGTGAATGGGCATATGCTCGACTGGGTGAAACATTGGCTGGATGGCTGTGTCCAAAGAGTTGTGGTCATTGGAGTTAAATCCAGTTGGTGGCCAGTCACAAGTGCTGTCCCCCAGGACTCTGTATTTGGGCTGCTTCTATTTAACATCTTTATTAATGATCTTCAAGAGGGGATTGAGTGCACCCTTAGTAAGTTTGCAGATGACACCAAGATGGGAGGGAGTGTTGATTTGCCAGAGGGGAAAAGGCACTACAGAGGGACCTGGATGGACTGGATCAATGGGCCAAGGTAATCTGTATGAGTTACAATAGGCCCAAGTGTTGGATCCTGCATTTTGGTCACAACAATACCAGGCAACCCCCAGGCAACCCTACAGGCTTGGGGAGGAACGGCTGGAAAGCTACCAGACAGAAAGGGATCTTGGTGTACTGATGGACAGTCAGCTGAATATGAGCCAGCAGTGTGCCCAGGTGGCCAAGAAGGCCAATGGCATCCTGGCTGGTATCAGGAATGGTGTGGTGAGCAGGACTAGGGAAGTAATACTGTCCTGTACTCAGCACTGGTGAGGCCTCATCTTAAATACTGTGTTCAGTTTTGGGCACCTCAGAAAGGACATTGAGGTACTGTAGCAGGTCCAAAGAAGGACAACAACACTTGTAAAGGGCTTAGAGAATATGCCCTACAAGGAGTGACTGAAGGAACTGAGGCTGTTTAGTCTGGGGAAGAAGAGGCTGAGGGGAGATATATTTGCTCTCTTTCAGTACCTGAAAGGGGCTTACAGCAAGAGTGAGGTTGGTCTCTTCTCACAGGTGACAGGAAAAGGGAAAATGGCCTTATGTTGCACCAAGGGAGGTTTAGGTTGGATATTGGAAAAAAACTTTACAGAAAGGGCTGTTAAGCACTGGAATAGGCTACCCAGGGAGGTGGTTGAGTCACCATCCCTGAATGTGTTTAAAAACCATTTGGATGTGGTGCTCAGGGACACGATTTAGTGGAGGGTTGTTAGGATAGTATGGTTAGACTGTGGTTGGACTTGATCATCTTTAAGGTCTTTTCCAACCTGAGCCATTCTATGATGCTATGATTCTATGAAAAGGCAGGCAAAATCACCAGCTCTCATTTCATATGCAACAAAGACATTGGTATTTTGTTAAATAAAAAGAGATCAATATCTCTTTTAACTGAGGTCATTAACTGGTTTTGATTAAATGACAGTAATCTGGTCTTTATTTGAAGATCTTGTGAGATAGTCTGCCGTTTTTGCTGACAGGCAGCAAGGAAAATCCTCTTTACCACTGAGTGTATTTTGTCTTATCCTACTTGGAACATGCCTAAATTTAACTTGCAGCTGTTGGTTCTCCCTGTGCCTGTCTGTGCAGGTTGAAGTGCCACCAGTGCCGACACTTTGTGGTGTAATTAAGGGAAACAGTCATAGTAAGATCAGAGCAGTGTTTCAAAAACACCTCCCTAGAAGAGAATTTCTGAGCTTCCTAATTGGTCATTTAGCCCTGGATCACCTCCAGACTTTCCATACATATTTTTAAAAAGTGTGTGCACCTGCACTGTAGATGGTTTAACAGAGTTTTATGGTTCAATGGCATGGGACCATTGGGCCAATGCATTGGGCCAAGGCATTTCCTTGTGTACCAGACCAGTGTGGTGGTCTGGTACACAAGGAAATGCCACCAGCGCTACTGAGCATCTTGTATTGATTGGTAATGTTCAGATGAACAGATGAACTTCTCATGGCCCATGTAGATCTGAAGGATTCAGTCCACTTGCCATTTGCAACTCCCATTGACAATAATGTTAAATGGTATCTCCTGCTCCTAGCACTGAAAAGTACTGGGCTTACCATTCCTTCTTGCAGAGGCACACACTTTTGGCAGTGATTAATGCTGCTTTTTGGATATCTAACCTTTGCAATTTATGTGTTAGGCAGTAACTAATCTATACAATGCAAACTGTGATGCATATACAACTGTTATTTTTCTCTTCAGAATGTCATGCTGATTTACAAATTCAGTGGTTTGTTAAATCTGCACCAGTACTTTTATCAACCAAACATTTCATCAAAGAATGAAGTTGGGTCTGTTTCTCGCAACTTTAAAAAAAAAAAAAAAGAAGAAATACTATGAGATTTACACTCTCTGGTAGATGGTTGTTGCCATCTAACACTCACATGTGTCATCTTGCTTTCTCTCTGAACACTGGCACCACATGCTTTTCCAGTATCTTGGGATTTCCAGAGTATTCTAATATACCTATGTCAATTGGACCAGACACTTCCTCAGCCAAATTTTTTACGATGCTGAGATGCAAATGATCTCAGCCAATTGATCTAAAAATACTTAAGCTTAATAGTTACAGTTAAAAACACTCCTTATTTTGAAAATGCAATAGATCCACATCTAATCTGAATACACAATTCTATTTATTTTTAAAAACATTTAATTTTGTCCGTATTGTTCACAACAGCAGAACCACAGACCTCTAATTTGTAAACTTAAATCTCAATTTTTTATTAAAAACTTTGTTGTAACTTTCCATGGGAGAACTTTCATCATCTTGTTCCGACTGCTGGACTTGCAATATAAGCAACTTGCTCAGTTTGAAGATTAACCAATTTTGCCTACACATTTGCCTGGCTCTACAGTTAAAACACATGCACACACACGTACATAAGTATATTCCTTCATACCTTAAAACATTAAGAAAATACAGCTATATACATCTACAGCTATGTATCTATATACAATGTATGTTAATTCATTGCATAACTATTTACAGTTACATGTACACCTATTTATACAGACTCACACATGTACAGTAATATTAACACTCATCTATATGCAGCATCCCAGCAGAGCTGAGGCTGTCCATGTTGTTCTGAGGTGAAAGCACACTTTTCTGTTTCTCTTCTCATACTCCGTTCTTGAATGGTTGCTCAGATCCTCCAGCTGGGTAAGCCCTTCCCCTTCTGTACCGTTATCTCTGTCAGTACTTGGACAAGACTGACTCTCCTGAGAAGGATGTGGAACAGGCTCCCAGGGCACTGGGCACAGCCCCAAGCTTCCAGAATTCAAGAAGCATCTTGACAGTGCTCTGTCATATGGTTTGATTTTTTGGATGTTCCTGGTGTGGAGCCAGGAGCTGCACTCAACGATCCTTATGGGTCCCTTCCAACTCAGGGTATTGTATGATTCTATGATTCTAAAAGAAGAGAGACAGTGGAGGGCAGGTGGCTGACATGAGAGTTCTCCTACTCTGAAACTGTTAGAAGTTGCTCTGGCTTTGGTTCAGCTGAAAAGGAAAGAAATAAAGGAAAAAAAAACTAAGATTCATGAAGACCAAAGTGCACAGACCATCACCCCTGTGCAGAGATTCACCAGAAGGAAATGGAGAAGAGCAATTAAGCCCTGCCATGCTCAGCAGAGCTGGGAGGATCACAGGCCTCCAGTTATGGGATCATAGCCCTGCACACTGCAGAGCAGGAGAAGAAAGGGAGCAGCAGCCATAGGTCAGCCAGACCTCCACAGCCATGGCATTGAGCTGCCAGTGCCAGGAAGATGTTGCTTGTCCCATCTCCCACATTAGGGAAGTGGCTCAGTGCTTAGCCTCTTACCTGCTCTTTTCCTTCTGAACATAATGAAGAGGACAGAAATGAAAATGGCAGTGGCAATGGCCCCTCCTACCAATCCTTCCAATTCTGTGTGTTCTGTAGGGGAAGAGGAGTATCAGGGATGTCACATGCACTTCAGCAACCAGTGATTGTCCCAGCTCATCAAACCCCCTGGCATCTGACAATACACATGCTCTCATCAGCTGTGACAGGTAACACATGCACTAGGGCCATTAACACAGGGCCAAATTATACTGGATAGATAGATATGATGTAACTTGTTAAATGACAGCATTGCTTGTTTTTCCCTGATGGGTCAGGAGAAAGGAGAGCAACCTCCTGCTGGGGAGGAGAGCAAGAACACTGACAGCACATCAACTCTAAAGGGAAGTAGCACTCTTTGCAGTGCTGGGACTACAGCTCCTCAGCAGCTTCAGCCTCCAGTTGAACAACGAATCCAGCTGGGTGTCCAGCTCCTTGGGCATGGCTGTTCTCTTGTCTCCTTCCAAGTGCTCTGTTTTTAGTCATAATATCTCTCATCCCTTGTAGGAAATGAGATAATTGCTGACTTAAAATCTTCAGACTAAGGGAGTGAAACAGAAGAGAGGATGGGCACAAGGGGACACCAGGAGGAAAGCAGGGAGAAGCAGGCATGCGTGATGCATCCCAGAGATTTTAATCCTTTTGGTAAGTAATGAGGTAGCAGGAGGTGTGGGCCATGGGTGAAGAATATGTCACTTAACCTTGACACTCACCTGGTGCCTTCAGATGGGTGCTGATGGAGATAGGTGCCTCCAGAGCCACATGTGAAACATGGCAGGTGTATGTGGCTGGAGCCTGTGCTGTGGCTGATGTGACGCTGAGGTAGGAGGCGATGCTGTAGGTGCCATCTTGGCTTTGCCGGTGACTGGAGAAGCGTGTGTTTGAGAGACTGATTTCTACCGCATCCTCAGGACACTTCTGTGTCCAGCTCACCGAGATGTCCTTGGGGTAATAGCCAGCAATGTTGCAGGTCAGAGTAATGGTTTCGTCTCTCTTGAATGACACCTCTGTTGGGAACACACGAACTCTTGGGGGCTCTGGAAGGAAATAGACAGGGAATTGACTGGGTCAGAAACTGAGCAGGGAACACAAATGGCATCCAGCTACAAGCTGCCTGTGACAGTGAGTATTGGAAGCAGCAGGGTGACCTTTCAGTGCCTTCCTTACCAGCCACCAGCAACTGGATATTGTGTTGGACTTGGTGCTGTGCTGTGGACACCAAGCAGATGTACATCCCCTCATCATCCACAGTTGCTTCCTGAAAGGTAAGCGATGCATCCCCATTCCTCAGCAGCTGCTCCACATCTACGTGGAATTTTGGCTGCACTGTCGGGCCTGCATTCCCCACATCATATTGGAAAAGGCTGCGACCGCTGCCTCGGTGCTGCCTCCTCCACTCCAGGGAGGACAGTAGGAAGCCGGGAGCCAAGGCAAAGTGGCAGTCAAGGGTGATGGAGCTGCCAAGACGTGTGCGCAGGGAAGTGTTGTTTGATGATGATTGAAATTCCACTAGAAACAGAAAGGAGGATTAAAGGCAAGCAGTGAATTAAATCAAAGTGGGTAAAGAAGGCGTCCTCAAGTGGGAGGTATGGGCAGTGACATCCTCACCCCAAGCAGGCCCCTTGTGTGATGCTTCAGGGGCCACATGGGCAGAATAGCTGGGAGGAAGCCAGCCCTGTGGGGTTATCAGGGTTGACAATCAAGTGGATACCAAGTACGTGCCGTGGTCTGGAAGGACAAAGCACTTGTTCAGAAGGCACCTGAACATGGCTCTGGGCAACCTCCTGTGGATGTCCCTGCTTGAGCAGGGCTGGGATCCCAGGCCACCTGGTCACCTGTAGTCAGCAGAGTCCCCTCCTTGCTCATTGGAATCTTCAGCTTTGGATGCAGTGTCACATCGTGTCCCCAATCCTTCTGGCTGCTGCAGCTGGATCCTCTGAGCAGCAGGGCAATGCTGATCCCGCTGGAGAGCCGAATGGTGGCTAGGAACCAGGAGGCAGGGCAGAGACCATTGCCCTCTTGCTGAAAATTATATGGGGAAAGCTCACAGCTCACCTCCTCCCCACTGCAATCCACATGCAGCAGGGCATCTGCGTACGGGATGGACACTAGCTGTGCTGTGAGAAGAGAGAAGAGATTTAATTGTCTGGATCTGAAAGGAAGACAGAGCAAGCTGATGAGATGAGAAACTCCATGCACTACAGTGTCAGTCAGAACACAGAAATGTAGGGCTAAGTTTATCAAATGGAGGTCTGTAAAGAATATGAGATCATGTTTGCTGTGGTTGCTTTACATCCCTTAGTCTGCTGGCTTCATTTCAGCCAGCACAGGGTTTACTGTGGGCAGAGGAAGCTGTTAGAAAAGGGAAGTAAGCAAAACAGATTCCCTCCAGCTGACTCAGTAATAAGTTGTATATGTGAAGTAACAAGTAACGACTTGCAATGTTTATTCTTTTAGGGTCTGAACACTTTTTAATCAAAGCATGTAGGCATAAGCACCCTATGTGACCCCTGTAAGTGATCCGTGTGCTTCCCACTGACATCACTGGAAATTAACTCAATGTCTGCAGTACGTGAAAAAATCATAGAGTCATAAAATATCCCAGGTTGGAAGGGACCCTTAAGGATCACTGAGTCCAACTCCTGGCTCCACACAAAACCACCCCAAATTCACACCCTATGTCTGAGAGAGATGTCTAAATGCTCCTTGAACTCCAGCAGCCTGTGCCAGGGCAGCATCACCCTATGGTGGAGAATCTTTTCCTGCTATCCAACCTGACCCTTTCGCAGCTTCATGCCATTCCCTCAGGTTCTATAGCTTGTCACCAGAAAGCAGAGCTCAGAGTTGCCCCTCCACTCCCGTGAGGAGCTGCAGGCTATCATGAGGCCACCCCTCAGCCTTCTCTGCCCTGGACGGAACAAAGCTCTTCACGTGTCTTCTCCTCCAGACCCTCCACCATCTTCTGTAGCCTTTCTTTGGCCACTCTCTAATATGTCTGTTTGGAACTGTGGTGCCCCAGTCTGTATCCAGTGCTTGAGGTGAGACCACACCAGTGCAGAGCAGAGCAGGACAATCACTTTCCTTGCTCAGCTGGCAGTGCTGGGCCTGGTGCATCTCAGGGTACAGCTGGCCTTCCTGGCTGTCTGTTGACACATGTTCAGCTTGTTTTTGACCAAGACCCTGAAATCCCAAAAGCTGCACATGAGCCAGCAGTGTGCTCTTGCAGCCCATAACGCCAGTGGTATCCTGAGCTGTGTTGAAAGAGGGGTGGCTAGAAGGGAGAAGGAGGTGATTGCCCTCCTCCACTCTGCCCTCGTGGAGACTCCATCTGGAGTACTGTGTCCAGGCCTGGGGCCCCCAGTGCAAGAAGGATGCAGACCTGGTGGAGTGGGTCCAGAGAAGGGGCATGAAGATGATCAGAGGACTGGAGCACCTCTCCTACAATTAAAGATCGAAGGAGTTGGGATTGTTTAGCTTGGAAAAGAGAAAGCTCCAGGAAGACCTCATTGCAATTTTCCAATATTTGAAAGGAGTTTACAAACAGGAGGGTGATCAACTTTTTATGCATGTAGATAGTGATAGGGCAAGGGAGGATGGATTTAAACTGAAAGAGGAGAGGTTCAGGTTAGATGTTAGGAAGAAACTCTTCACTCAGAAGGTGGTGAGGCACTGGAACAGGCTATGTAGAGAGGTAGTGGATGCCCCATCCTTGGAGGCATTCAAGGCCAGGTGTGATGAGTTCCTGGGCAGCCTGATCTAGTGAGTGGCAACCCTGCCCACAGCAGGGGGGTTGGAACTAGATGATCTTTGAAGTCCTTTCCAATCCAAGCCATTCTAAAATTCTAAATTCTAAAATAATTTTCTCCGTAATTTTACTAGGCACTGAACTGAGCCTGACAGGCCTGCATTTACCAGGGTATTCTTTCTCATCCTTTTTGAAGGTTGGAGTGATTGCCAGCTTCCAGTCAACTGGGACATTTTCAGATTCCCAAGGCCTGTTTGTAGCATGCTGAACACACCCGTGCCTTGTTCAATTGCACCCCAGCAGGAAAGCTTAGACCCATGCTAACCAACCCCGCTGGGCCTTCGATAAGCTTGTATATAAGCACTTGTTTGCATATAGGCATTGTGTGCAGCTAATTTGACCAGAGTGAAGTACAGGCTTGGGCCTTTGCTTTGCTGTGTTTGTGAAGTTACACACAAAGCCAGGGCTATGGAGGAGGACTGCAGACTGGCGCCCAGAAATGAAGTAAAAAGAGACAAGTACACACTGCTGACCTTCTGGGAGGGACAGTGCTACTTTATGCACGCTGACTAAGATACTAATATTGTTAGTAGTAACAAAAGGTGGGAGTGCTCTTTATGAATGCAATAATAAAAAATAGAGCCATAATTCTCAAGATGTTATTGACAAAAGATTTTCCAGGAGACAACCTAGTATAAGCTCTGTAGAGGGGAGATGCAGCAGCAGGGTTTCTAGCCTTCCACAAAATTCCTTTCTTAAAGTCTTAATTGCTAAATGTAGGAGGTCATGCATAGAACTTTAGTGGCCATTCATGTAATAATAGAATAGTTTGGATTGGAAGAGACTTTAAATATCAGCTAGTTCTGATCTTCAAAAATTAATTCAAAAATTAAAAATTTATGAAGGTTGCTACCTCACTGTGCTCACATCCACTGCTAGGTCTCCATAAACATTCAGCAGGTGTCAGTGAATGTCAGTGGGTGCCATTTTTTCCTCATGTAGGAATTAAATAACAAACTTTTGTTTCGTGCGCACTTCCATGTTTGTCATACTGCCTCTCTGCTGCCATCTGTCACACAGCAACAAAATGTAATGGAATACTGGTGGGAAGGCCCAGTTTCTACTGCTATACCATCAACATCCGTCCGTGGGCCAGCATAATAAAACAGGAGGCTTGAGGATTACTTGTTCAGCAGTCCTTGTAATTGTCTAAACTCCGTTTAAAAGTTCTTTTGGAAAAGCCTGGGGCATGAGGTGGTAAAAATTCTGGAAGCAGCTCTGATGCCTCACTCACCTGAGGCTTCAAAGATGATGGGAGCAGAGGAGCTGTGGTCTTCCTGTGGGATCTCATAGTCGGTTACATCTCCCAGGGTGCCATCATCTGTGACGCTGAGTCCCCTCAGCACCAGGGTAGCTGGATGCTGGGAGCCACCAAAGGCTCTTGGCAATCCTCCTTCCTCCACGTAGGAGCAGCCAAGGACAACATCCACCCTGCGGATCTCAGGCACTGGTGTGGGGCCTTCCACTGTCCCTTAGAAGAAGGAAAAGAACTGTTTTAGTGCACAAGCTGCTTTAATCATAGAATCGTAGAATTGTTTGAATTTCCAAGGGAAGGACATTTAAACGTATCCTAACCCAACTCCCCAGCAATGAATAGGAGCACCTGCAGCTACATCAGGTTGCTCAGAGCCCCATCCAGCCTGACTTTGAGGGTCTCCAAGGATGGGACTTCCATCATGTCTCTGGGAAACCTGTTCCAGTGCCTCACCACCCTCACTGTTCCTTATACCCGATATAAAACTGCCCTCTTTTAGTTTTAAACAATTTTCCCTTGTCCTTTGACAACAGAACTGCTAAAGAGTCTGTTTCTTACTTTCTTACAGCCCACCTTCAGATAGCAGAAGGCTGCTATCAGGTCTCCTGGCAGCTTTCCCTTCCCCAGGCACTGCAGCAGCAGCAGCATAAGCACAGCCCCAGCCAAGCCCCGGCTCACCTGCCAGCACAGCCAGCATGCAGCAGGACAGGATTAGCCCCAGGATCATACTGCCCCTAAGGAGGGGTCTTCTGCAGGCCAAAATGCTCGGAAAGCCTAGCTGGAACCAGGCCCTGCCCCAGGCTGCCAGAAGCACCATGCTTTTGATTTCACTTTCACTTTGGAGAAGCAGAAGGGAAACAATCCCAGCACCTCTAAGCCTGTTAACTCTTTCTTTACCAAGCACAAGGAACTTAGCAGGAGGGCTTAGGCAGTAGGAAAGCGGGATGGAGGAGAGCTTCCAGAGCTACAGGTTTTGCTGGGCCTCTTCCTAAGAGGCAGTGCCATGCCAGCCTTAACACTGTCCATCTGCATGCAGCCAACTCATTGAGCACCCAGTGAAGGCTGTCACTTCTCTACAAGCCTGCTTTTCATAAGATTCCAGCTCTGTGAGAGGCTGGGATGTGAAACTAGAGTTGTTCCTTTTTCCCTGTGGATCCTCCATGGAGTGCGAGGAGCTGCCTTACTTGCCAGCTGACAAGTCCACCCCAGCTGTCTGAAAGACAAAAACATGGAAAAAACAGCCTGTGCACAGCATTAGTGAGAGAATGGGTGAGCTTTGGTGGCATTTTCAGGACTGCCTTTTTTCATGTCCTTTGCTGAGAGAAAATGTTAGGCACTGGGGGAAGTCTCTGATAATCATGATGGGGCTTAAGCCTATAAATCTTGATATGACAGGTAACAAATTCCTTCACAAAACAGTCACTGTGTCTGTGTGAATAGAAACAAAGTCATAGAAAAGGTTGCTGATGAAAAATACATTTGGAGCATGTGATCATAATTTGCTTACATATCAATTAAGCAGGAAGCTAAAAAAAAAAAAACAAACAGGCCTGCTGAGTACTTGAAAATTTTGCTTCGAAATGGAAACAAACAAAAACGAAAAATCAAGGAAATAATAAAAGTCTTTAATATGGACTGTAATGGTGAAGAAACTGAGTGTGAAAGAAGCCCAGGATTCTTCTGAGAGATGGTCAGTTGTTATGGCAATTGCACCCCAGAGCAAGAGCAAAAATCCCTCTGCAGCTACCTCGATCAACAGCCATGAGGCTACTGAATACATGTGACAGGTAAGGAAATTGATTGCCAAACAAAACACACCTTCAAATGTTTGCAGACATGATGTGATATTAATGTGGAAAATGAATTTTTAGAAAATAATTTTTTTTTTTGTGTAAATAAATACCTGAATCAAAAAGGAGAAGGTGACTATGCAAAGAAGGTGGGGTCAAGAATAAAACTACCTGTTGCTGATACATAACTATAACCTTAAACCAAGAAAATTATACTGAATGAATAAAGGAGCAAATGGAAAGGGAATAGTAAATATGAGAATACGGGAACTACCATGTCTGATCTAAAAGGATCTTTTATCCTTTCTAAATTTGGAAATCAAGTTAATGTGATGGAATTATGAAAACAAGATAGGATGTGGATTTTGATGCATTTTTTAACTGTAACAAATTTTATTTTTAAGAAAGCAACAAGAAGCTACACAGTTCTGCAAAATAACAAACACTGTTCCAATAAACTTTACCTTATCTGTGTTTACTCAGTTTTAAGAATTGGGGGCCTGACAAGTAACTTCTTACCCCAGTCTGGACTGATGTGTCAGTAGGTGACTTACCCTTTAACCCCTGAAGAAATACCATACACCCCATGTAAATATATAACACTAATAGGGAATTCAAATCCACATCTCCAGGGAAGCATTTATCCAGAAAATCTGTTGCTGACAGCAAAAGATGAGTGCTTAGAAACATCAAAAGTGGTGACTCTGTGGTTTAACAGTGGCCTCTCAGCTTGCTTTTCATCAGTATACTGGCTGAATACTTCAACCCAGGAGAATTTGTGCCACAGAGTGAGGATCACTGTAAAAATTACATTTCAAAACTGTCTGCAGCTCATTGGGTTCACCAGGTTTTCTTATAAAATACTATAAAATAAACTCCCCATTTCCATAATATTCTTAGAGGTTTCTGCTGCCCTTACTGTCACCTCTAACCATCTACTGCCTCTTAAATTTAGACATTCCCTCCTCGCACATTTGCAGTCCCATCAATTCTTCCACACCACTCTTCTATCTGCGCCCTTTTACCTTTCTCCATTTGCTGCTCCCCATAAAACCTATGGTTTCAGGCAGCTTTCCTCTATCCAAACCACATACATTTCCTCTTTCTAGTTTTCCTGTTCTCTGGCCCTGAGCTGTTTTGCCCTGCTCTCACCTCCCTGATTTCCCCAGTCCCTTCTTTTCAGTACCAGTTCTTCCAACAAGAGGAAACACCACAAAATCTGTCAGCCTTGTTTATCTGAGCTTTCTATGGGTCAGGTTAAAAGCCTATATAAGGAGCCTAAGTACTTGTTCTTCACTGGTATGGCATCAGCTTGAGCACTGCGTGCAGGTTTGGACATCGCAATATAAGAAGGACATAAAACACTGAGAGAGCATCTAAAGGACAGCCGTGAGGATGAGGAATGGTCTGGAGTGGCTAAGGTCCCATGATTTGTTCAGTTCAGAGCAGAAGAGCTGAGGGGAGGCCTGATGGCGGCTGCAGCTCCTCACAGTGAGCCGAGGGGCAGCTCTGAGCTCTGCTCTGTGTGACAGCGACAGGGCCCGAGGGAACGGCATGGAGCTGTGAGCAGAGAGTCAGGTTCGGGGTCAGGGAAAGGTTCTGCACCAGAGAGCAGTGGGCATGGCACAGGCTGCCCAGGGCAGTGGGCATGGCACCAAACTGATGGAATTTGTGAAGTGTTTTGACATCTCTCTCAGACATAGGGTGTGAATTTTGGGTGATGTTGTGTGGGGTCAGAATAGAATACCTGGGGTATTCTATGGTTCTGTGACTCTATGATTTGCTGAATCCAAAAGATAGCTCCTCTTTTTACACTAAGTCAGCGTTACGCTCATGCCACGCTTGGGTAAATTCTGTTCCTTGCAGCTCCTGAAGCTTCTGCTGACTGTGCTAATGAGTGGGGCCATCAACACTGAGCTAGCTTGGCATGCCTCCTCTGGTTATATAGGATACATCTGATACTAGCACACAGCTCTCCTCTAGTGTTAAATAAGTGGTAAGCTGACATTTATTATATGATTTGCTAGCTGGATATGCACTGCTTTGCCTCTACTTCCCTGTATTGTTTTCCTTCTCACAGACCTAGATTAACCAGGCTAACCTGGAGATCACTGTGGTTTTCATCTTCCACTGTATGTGCTGAAGGCCAGGCTGTAAACGAACCTTGTTGACTCAACAAAATTTGCAGTTTACAGAAGTATACAGGGATGAACTCTTTCTCTGTAAATTAACACCTTATTTTTGTGCAGTGTATCTTTTAATAGTACTAGAAGGAAAATGACCCAAACCCACTCACCTAGAAGTTGTACCCATATATCTCTGGCTGATCCCAAGAGGCACAAGTTGCAGCATAATCTCTATCTCTAACCCACACTGTTAGCCATCATGTTTGCTAAGATTACACCCTCTCTGTACCTTATGTTGCTACCTCCTGCTGGGGAAAGGAGCACAGAATCAGGCTAACATCGTAGAATGGCTTAGGTTGAAGGGGACCTTAAAGATCATCTAGTTCCAACCTTCCTGCCATGGGCAGTGTTGCCACCCACTGAATCGGACTGCCAAGGATCCCATCCATCCCAGCCATACACACCTCCAGAGATGGAGTATCCACAGCTTCTCTGGGCAAACTGTTTCAGTGTTTCACTACCCTCTAAGTAAAGGCTCATAAGTCTGGAACTGAAATCATGGGATCTCCAGGAAAAGGGAGATACAAAAACAAAGCCTTCTGGCATCTACAGAAGTAGACCAGAACTAGAATAACAGCAATGCTAAAGGTAAAATGAGCCCAATTTGTAACTAACATAAACCACAATTTCAGTGCAGCTACATCAGTTTACAGCAGTTAAGTTTCTTATCAAATGGTTCTTAGATTGGACTCATTTTTCATAGTCTCTTGTACCAGCTTTGAATATTGACATAGTCTGAGTTGCTATCATTTAAGGTTGTTTTCTTTTTCTTTCAAGATTGTCCACAGTTTTGACTGCCCTCATTTTTAAGCACCAAGAATAGATGTTGGCCTCTAATTTTTGTGGTCTACAGTTAGGTGCTCAGCATCTTTCAAAATGGGGGTACATGATATGTGGAGAAGGGAGTCCTCATGGAAAAGCCAACCTAGAAAGCCTGACTGCATGTTCTCACCTCTATCAACTTCCCTGTGTAAAGCAGAACAATAATACTAGGTGACCTGTTTTAGAAGTTTTGATGAAAGAATGAGTTTCATGTATGTTTTGAGAACAGATGAGTTTTTGTAAGCAGCTTTAAAGTACAGGCAGTTTATTTTTGCAGTGTAATTAAGGTACAGGGCAATAGAGCAGAGCATCTGGCTGTAGCTGCAGATCGCATGTGTTCATTTGCTTCAGTTTCTGCTGTAAATGTGCTGTAAAATTGGGGTGCTACTTGCCCTGTTTTCTACAGGACATCTGTACAGACGAGTTTATTCTCACACATGGAGTCTTCCAATAAAAGAGCTCTAGGGAAAGAAAAGAGAACTACAAATAAAAAATCAGAATCTGTCACTGTTACTATTCCTACTCCTGATGTTGATGCCTACTCACTGTTCCCACAGTTCAGACAATGCTCTCCCAGGGCGTGTCTAGAGAAGAGAACATCCCCAAATGCTAACATCTCAAGGGGACAATTTAAGCTGCAAGTACACAGGAGGATGAGTTGCTCAGAACCCTTTCAGATACCTTACTGCTCATGCCTTCAGTACTCAGCATTCAGCTCAGGTTCATCTGCAATGGCAAATGACTGCCTCCATCAGTAGGAGGGGGCTCCATGCAGTGCCAGCCACACCTCACACCTGCACCAAAACCAGGAGTTGCAAGTGCAGCAAGTTTTCACCCATTTTCATCTCACCAGCCTCATCATTTGCCTCAACAAGCATATTTGGTTCTTAAACCAGTGCATTTATTTAAAAATAGACCAAATCCTAATCACTTTTCTACTCTACAAAATAAAAGAAAAAATATACTTCAGCTCACTTAACTGAATCAAACATTATCCACACCAGTGCTGAATGTTTTTTTAAAGGTCTTTTACAGAAAAAAAAAAAAATCTTTAT